ATAGCAACAAGCACACAGGGTTTCCTCTGTTTATTATTAAGAGGAGGGTCAGAAAGTGTCCTGATTACAATATCTTCATGTTTTTATCAGAGGAAAATATAACACCAGAATACCCTTTAGTCTTAGGGAAAAGCATAAAAAGAACTACTATCTGGAACCTGAAACAATCCCTTTTAATTGGAATATGAAGCAAAAAAAAATTTTTTTTTTTTTTAACAGCGATGGTGATTAACCATTGAGCAACCTGCAAAGGAAACAGTTGATTTTCAGTTTTCTCCAACTGGCAGTTCTAGATAGGCTGTAGCCAAAAGCAAATTACTGGTTTCTGAAAAGGTGTAAATCAGTAAAGTTTAGTAGCCTGTCATATCAGGGAGATTTAAACAGTCAGTGGCTTGAAACCTTTCACAGTTTGCAACCTCTGTTATTTCCTATGGATATTAGGACCCCTCGACAATGAGTTTGTCTATTGACAATAGTCTGTCTTCTATTTTAGTTAGTTTTGTGGGTTCTGTAGAAATAAGTCTGATCTCTACGATTTCATTGTCACAGCATGTAAACCATTCAACTGAGTAGTTTAAGCAGCCTCTTCAGCATTTGAACTCTGTGAATCTGAATTTTTTTTTATGTATTCTGAACACGCAATTCCATGTGAGACAACCAGCAACAGAGACTGAATTAGGAGAAACTGTGAATGTCATGTTGACATATACTCTTGTAGTGTTTTAAGTGACAGAGGGGAAAAGTTTTATATGCTGCTGCACTGAATAACTAACAGTGTGATTAGTCACAAATCTGAATTTTATATTAGATATTTATGCACTTGCATAGATATAACAGAAAGTTTATGATTTTGTAGCACCTCTTGTTTGGGACCTAAGAGCATCAGTCATAATAAATTGCTCCATAAAAAACAGTCCCTGTTACTGTGAGTTGTAAGTAACCATTCTTCTCATAATCCCCTTAACCTGAGGTTTGGAGTAAATAGCTTTCCAGAGGCCACATTGAGTAGGTGGTTGAAATGCAGAGGGAACTCAGGAGTCTAATTACCTTCCCTGTGCTATAGTTCAGGATAAAATGGAAAAACAGGCATGATTTCACAAAAATTATTTTAGTTCTTACTTTTATAGGAGGCTGTCCCACCTGTTGTTCATACAGCAGGATGGTTTCTGTTTACTGATACTTAGAAAGGAGAGAAAAACAGCTCACTACTTATTTTTCTCATAGGGTGAAAAGGTAAACTATGAGAAATTCAGGAGTTGGCTATTACACAACAAAGATGCTTTCACATTTTCTCGTTGGCTGCTGTCTGGAGGTGTGTATGTGACGCTCACTGATGATAGTGATACCCCTACCTTCTATCAAACCCTCGCTGGAGTCACACACTGTAAGTAAATGATAGTTCTTTTTATGCATATTTTTTAAAAACTATTTCAGAGTTCACAAATTTAGTGTTGCCTTGCAGTAGTTGTTCATTAAATCTCACTACTCTGGTTAGATGCATACAGTTCTGCCCAGCAAGATAAATTTCTTTTCCATGCTAATTTGTTCTCTGCTTTTTGTGCTGTGACATGTAAAGCGTTGTCATATACAAGGACATAGTGAGTCATTATTTATAAGAGATAACAGTAGTGAGATTACAATGCTGCTTATAGAAACTGACTACCAAGTAAATTAAAACAAAAAAAACCCAAACCTTTGATAAATACCTTTCTTTGAAGGAACTTAATATTAATACAGTACAGTTTTTGTATTTGCTCTTTTAGATACAGTATATCTCAAAACTATTGGCACAGTTTTGAAAATAATGCTTGTCTCAAAAATAAGCATTACCTCTTAATTTGTTTTCAGTAGTGAAATAAGCAATATTCCTGGCATGTGATGTAGTCAGGCAACTAAGTTATCTAAGGAGAAACCTGTTCAGAATTTGCATATAGAAATGATCTCAAAAGAACAAATTCTTTCTAATGTCTACATTGATGTAAAAGAAGGAGCAGCTGTTTTTTAGGTTAAATGTAAAAATAAAGGGCTGATAAATTACCCTTTATGTGCAAATATAACATTAGTAGTCATTATATATATAGCTCCTGGGGGTTGTCATATCTTTAGGAGAAGAAGGGTGTTTGCTGTTGAGGTATCGTGATTTGAGCAATCTGGTTCTGTTCTGTGCACTGTCATAGGCTTCCTTTGGTGAGGGCATGGCATATGATCCTGCTAATAGGTAGGGTACTTGAATAAAGTTTGTTTGTTTTTTAAGTTTTAAATACAAGCATTAAAATCATGTTGTGATCCTCTGAAATGAAAATGCATAATAAAACTAGAAGTTTATAGACAGGTAACATATTTACATTGCATGAGAGACTGCAGTAGGCATTGAGGTTACAGAAAACCACTAAACATTATGAAGTCTAATAGATGAAGCAGAGAAAGTGCAGTAAAAAAAATCCTCCTTTGAATTCAACAGACATCAGCCATGGTACGAATCTCTCAAGCTGCATCAAATTGAGCTGTGCTATGCCTCCAAACCTGTCAAATGTCCTTTGCCCTAGATATTCAAGGAAAGGTTCATCCTGGGCCTCTGGATGTTAACTCAGAGCTTGCTTTGTTTTTTTCTTCATGTTCTAAAATCGGAAGTTTTTCTGAACATTTTCTATTATATTTTTTGCAAAAAGTTTATTTATACTGAAACTGAGATTTATAGTAAAAAAAAATTTGAAGAGCTACTTTTTAAATGGACTTTATGCTTCATATTTAATATCATACTCACTTTTTCTCTTTTTGCCTGCCACTGTTACTGTCTGTGGCCAGGCCCAGCTATTTCCCTTGTGTGTTGCAGATGTGCATATTAAATGATTCAAGGAAGGAAACGGTCTTTAATCTAAAGAGGACAATATTCTACCTTAGCCCACGCATACCTACTTTCTTGTGTCAAGAAGAAAGCCTTTCTTCAGCTTACCAGGCTAAGGGTTGTTTTCACTTCTGAACCACAAATTTGAAAAACTAAGACTGAAAGACTAATTAAAAACAAAATTAAGATGACCAAGTGGGCAAGAGAGAAGGTCTGTTAAAATGCAATGAATAGGACACACAGTCTATTCTGATTCTTGGAAAAGTTTGTTTTAGTGGGTCCATCTTATTTGTTTCTACTATGGTGTAGTTGTTTTTTTTTTTCTTTTCATTTTGTGGAGAGTGCGTTTTCGCTTTCTCCTCTCAAATTTTTCAGCCCTTGGCTTAACAGAATTCCACTTGCTTCAGCAATCTCTTTCAAATCAAATTGTCTCAAGTACCCCTGTTTACATTTGAGCCTCTCTGATTGCAGGGACCTATCAACAAATCAGGATGACGTTATGTTAACATTTCAGCCATGCAACGCTTGCTGGAGAATGCCTCTGCAGGAACTGTAGTCTCTGTTTTCAATTTAACGGCAATTGTCCCCTTTAACTTCCATTTAGCTCTTTGAGATGTTCAACTATACAGTCTCAAATCTTTCTTAATTGCTCTTGCATATACTGTCACTCTTACAAAGTAGCCCTCTCGCTCTGTGTTTAACTTTTCGGAGTAGGCTCAGTGATTATACCTCAGCATGATAATCATCTTTGAAAACGTTAACCTTGAAATCTGCTCACTCTGCCTCTTTAGATAGTTGTATTTTTGTAATTCTTATATTTCAAGGTTTAGAAATACAAGTAGATTTCATGCGTTTGCTTGTAGTCTTTCTGTGATCAAGTTGGTTTATAATAATTTCATAACACTTCTGTGCATTGCGCCATCTGATACTGTAAACTGTATTACAGGAGGAAGTATCTACTCTTCCTCCTTTTCTAGGAAACATGCGTGGCTGCTCTTTTACGTGCGCTGGTTTGTTTACGCGTTCTGGTGGAGAAGTTGCAAGATTTTTAAACCTTCATTAAATACCTTTGCAGAATTTTTTATCTCTGAGTGTTTCAACAGAAACTGTATGTTCTGGAAAAAAATAATCATTTACGTTGCTATGTAGTTGGTCAGACCACTGAGAAATTTAATGTTTTCTGGTAGTTGGTAGTATTCTCAATTTCTTTACCTACAGCTTATTTTTATAAGCTGTAGGCTGAATGAAGTAATGAAGATAGAACTGATTGAAATACTAGTTTTCAATTGTTAGGATTAAAAGAAGCTGAAATTAAAATATTTGAGTCTTTGAAGTGATTATTGAATCTTCAAGTGCGTGTCAGATCTAAGGTCAAGCTGTTCATTGTATTCAAGAGAATTGTATAGTTTACATATTTTTTTGAACGATTAAAATGTTTTAAACTGTACATTGTTCACAGATTCAGTATAATTAACTAAATTTGGGGCTTATGTTACAGTGTATGTTTGGGCCTCAAGATAAAATTAAGTTGTTATTTTTCAGTTAAATGTAGTAATGAGAAAAAGAGAATGTGATTGCACTGTCTATATTGTGATGTCTGCAGTTCAGTGTCTTTCAACTGACGAATGCGGAGAAACTGATAAGAATTTCAGATGGCAAGATGACTGCTGGTGAACTAACCTGCCTCCCACAAATCTGCACAAATATTTTTTTAGTGTGCCTGATAATGTATTGTGAAATTTGAGGCTGTATAGGAATATCATACATCAGATGTGAAAGTAAGTAATAATAAAAATGCATTACATATGCATATGTATATATTGGTGTGTCAATCTAAATAATAAGAAATGTTAGTGCAGCAGTAGTCTTACCATAGCTGATCACAGAAAATAGTAAAGGCTCTTATGACAGGCTCCTTTTCTCTAAATAGAGGCTTGTTTGTAATATTCATAACTAGGATAATAGTTGCCTTCTGGGAGAACAAGTGAGTGAAATAACGCTTAGTAAACCTACGCAAACACTGTTAGAGTATAGTGAAAGACTGAACATTTTAAAATCTCTTGTAGTGTGTAATGAAAATTAATTTGTAAGACTTGCTAATGCAGTTTGCAAATTTGTCACCTGGATACTAGAATCTGCCGCTGCGCCCTCTCCTGGGACATCAGTCGGCTCGAGCTGCAAACCCTTCTGCCGGCCCTGCCTCCTCTCATGTGCTTGCCGTTAAATGTCCTGAATGATATGTCAGAGACGAGAAAAATTGCCGTGATAAGGATAGTGACAGTTATTAACATTGATTTAGAAACAGACAGCAAACACTTTATTGCAAAGCATCAGCGACTCCATTTAAATTTGCTTAATGAGGCAAGATGTCACGGAAACAAAGGAATTCTAATTTTTCATTTGTAAATAACATTTGTTTCAGAATGCAGATGACTTTAATTGTATTTCTCAACACATAATTAGACATTAAAATTTGAAGTTACAGGAAGTTGCACTTGCTGTTTTTAATCAAATTTTTTTCTATTTCACTTAAATTATGAATATGAATCCTTCCATTTGAAAGCTAGCAAAATAACTTAAGTTTGTCTTGGACCTTCAGTATATTTCCTCCCAAACAGTTTGAGGAACACAAGTCTCTCCTCCACCTGCATAACGTCCAACTAGCAGTAGCTTGAATTTTCCCAGTTTTGTAGTATGACTGGGTGTTCTTGATTTTATTTATTGTCACATTGAATAGAAATGTAGTGAAACATTTCAATCAATGGTAAATCCTGTCAGAGACTGACTAACACTGAAATTCTCAGTAGGAGAATATTCCCCCAAATTATTACATATCCTTAATTATTACAAATTAGATATTTCATCTCCTCTGGTACCCAAGTCCAAATATAGTACTTCAGTAATATAACAATTCTTGGCCGCTGGAGGATGTCATTTTATTGCATGCTGTGGCTGGTTAGTACTCTTTTAACTACAGGAATAGAACTGAGGTCATTCTCCCCGCAAAGTACAGCTTTCTACTGCTTAATTTAGCAGATGGACACACAGGAACATTCACGTAATGCGTTCCCTTTGAGGGACTTTTTTTTTTTTTCCCTAAGGTACAAAGGTTTTTTTTTTTTTTTTTCTCCAGTTGTTATTATTGGGAAGCTATTCCAGTAAATCTTCTACATGTATCTGCGGGCAGTGTATATCTATCTTTTCTGTCAGTATTTTCCTTGATCTCAGGCAGTCCCTGCTCTCCTTCCCTTTTACTCTTCAGTATAAAGGCAGATGACTGTTACATTTCTTCTTGGCCTTTTTGTTAAAGTAAAATGAGCCCAATTAAAGGCTTTGTTTCAGACTGGGTGCTTCATCTCCCTTTGTTATTCGTAAGAGTCATTTTCTGCATCCTCCAGTTTCTGCTCTGGCAGGCAGCAAGTTGCTGCTGTGTTCCAGATGAGACCTCACTGGTTTCCTTCGCTTGGACATATTTCTTCTGATGCAACATAGGCGGTGTTTGCCTTTTTTATGCTTGGGTCGTTTTGATGTCTCAATAT